CTTTCTATCTCTCTTTCTCCCGCCCATGCCCGTCAAGAGTCAAGAAGACAAGAGGAGAGATCGAGCGTAGGTTGATTTCACGGCAAAATCCCCATTCGGGCCTATCGCCGGACCCGCTGGTCCACAAAAACATTTGTTAGAATCAGCACACGAAAGCCCCACCCTTCTGTAATACAAAACCGGACGAAATAGAGAGTATACATTCTGGACAATACAAAATAAAGGAAATAATAATCAAAAAATAAAGTCTATAAAATATAAAACCAGGAATAAATATTTAAATGCCCAAAGGTTTGTCAAAAACAACCTGTGTCATAATTAGACTGGGCAAATATGCAAATATTATGAAAAACTAAATTTAAAAAACTAACTAAAACTAAAATCAACTAAGTAGCAAACGAAAAATTAAGTAAGCTAAACTCACCTTACTTTAAAAATAATAAAAAAACTAAAATAAGAATAGTAAACATTATAATAAACTGGCAACTGATCTTAAATATAAATAAGTTAAGTTAACCAAATAAAATAAACTCACGTAAAGGTGTTGCGCATGCAAATTGAACGTATGCGTGGGGCCTCACGCCGCGAACTATACTAAGCTAACTCCAGAACGGTACATTGAAGTAGACGAGCTTCTCACCACTAAATTGTTTTCTCGGGAATATTAAGAAAGCCAATAGACTATAAAGTGAAATTAAGTAAAAAAATGTCCAAATTTATCGCACCCAACAAACTATAAGTACGTAAGAAATATAAGGAAACTTCTGTGTTTGTTTATAGCGGGGTATGTTGCTGCGAAAACAGTAGATTATTTAAATAATTTCTGGGAACTAAACCAGAACATCACCAAACACGTTACTGGGAATTTACCACAAGCAGTAAGATAGAGGCAGTGGCCTGGGCTTGAGTGGCTTTCCAGCGCAAAACACAAACACGTATTATTACGCGGCGCTGTTGGTTCACACGAGTATAATGAAATTCATAGGTGCATTTTCTTTAGTTAGCCACTGTCTGGGTAGATCACGTGTTTGTCTAGACTTAGCTAGTTGCCTGTTGCCAGTATAAGCGAAGAGGCGAGTGCCAGGAAGCAGAAGGAGATGTAATCGCTGGAGCAGGAATATTATTGGTCGGACATTTTCAGATTTCGACTCGAACCCATCCTCACATACATGCGTAAAAAAACTTATGAAGGAAAAAAGGACCCCAGTATACATAGGACGCATTCCTCAGGCCAGTGCATGCATAATTTAGTAAAAGCATTCGCGTTCATCGTTTGGCGTGGTAGGTGATTCGAAGATAGCTCTGTTCTGCCCGTACGGACGTTTTTCACGTCCGTGATTTCATCATCGTTATCGATTCTTACCTTTTACTGCCTCATCTGAACTCATATTGATAGCTGGCTTACTAACAGAATAACTGCTAAGTCTACATACCTCGATCTGAAATCCTTCTACCCAATTTCTTGTTCATCCACACTTTCACAACTCGTCAAATGAGTTGCTTGGTTTCTATCATAAAACATGTACGAGGAGATACATTCAAAAGTTTGTATTTTGCCCAGGAAGATCAGGGACTACTTCATTGACTAATTCTAGAATTTGAACAAGGCAAAGATCACGAAATTAGCAGGATTTATTGGCGTCATATAATTTCATGACCAAAACACTGCATTTAAGATCGTACTTTGGGCGACGACCGGGCGTCTCCTACGCTTTGTGGAGGCGGAGAAGGAAACCAGAGCTCTGTAAGTTGCTGGATCATGTGACCAACCTTGCGTTGCCGTGGTAACGATCGATAAACTCATTCCCGCTCACGCCTCCTCGCTCACCTTAGGACCGACTGCCACCGTATCCTCTGCCCCCACCCTTCCCCTTATCCATGTCCACCAGGCTTTCATAAACATGAACTAACGTGAA